ATATTATAAAGGATGAAAAAATTTTTCACTCTTTTTTGTCCTGCCATTTTTTTCTATTAGTTTATCCCGACTTGTTTTAACATAAATTGTCATCCTGCCTTTTTTTTTCATATTGTCTCATCCTGCCTTTTTTTCAAATTTCATATTTCATCCTAGACCCCCCCCCCCCCCCCTAAAAATCAAATGGTAGCTCCCTAAGTTAGCAAACAAATTATTTTATATTTACCTTGACAAACCTGTATAACCTTGAAGCAGTATTAAGTTCATGTATTATCCGCATATTATTACATGTACATTGAACTAAAACAAATTGTGGTCATTGTCAAAATTATAATTTACAGTTTACTTTTCCAATGCTTTCAATTTAAGATTAGGGCATTTTTGTCATTGGAATTGAGTTTTGTAGTTGGAGATTACTCTAACCTCCAACGACTGTTTTGCGACATCAGCTAGGGCAGTTGGACTTCAGCTGGTCCCATATCAGATAGACGATATTTGCCCGTCCAAAGTGGATGTGCTGCTTCGTTGCTTCTGGAGGCGACTGGATCCATATAAATCAAGCCTCAATTTATTCATTTTTCTCTTCATTTAAGTAAGTTTGATCAACCTGCCACCCGTAATCTTCTCATATTTGAACAGTTTTCACATTGACCCATCCAGTGGCGGATCCAGAAATTTTCATAAGAGGGGGCCCACTGACTGCCTAAGAGGGGGCCCGCTCCAGTCATGCTTCAGTGATTCCCTATATAATCAACCAAATTGTTCCCACAAAAGTGGGGGCCCGGGCCCCCTGCCCCCCCCCCCCCCTAAATCCGCCTCTGCCATCAATACGGACATTTTAGAGGGTATGAATGCCCTTTACCGCCAGGCGTATAACAGTCATTTTCGGCTACCGTTAGCGTCAAATATGTTAACATTTTACCGTGATTCGTCAACATATCCTTATTGTGATTCGTCAGAGGTCTCAAATAATTATCGTTACCGTTATTTTTGGCAAAAACTTAACGTGATTCGTCAAAATCTGTTGATTTTTTTATCGTCTTAAAAAGTCTTCATTTTATCGTCATGCACCAAAAATTACCGTTAACGTCATTTGGCAAGATTCGTCATGAAGGTACCCCAATTACCACCCTCATTTTAACTTTCACTTAATAAGAATGTCACATGACCAACATTATGGGAACAGATTTATGCAAATGACCCTTATTCAATAGGAAAACATAATCTTAATAAATCGAGCCTCAATTAGTTCATTTTTCTCTTCATTTAAGTAAGTTTAATCGACCTGCCACCCGCTATTTTCTCATATTTGGACAGCTTTCACATTGACACATCAACACTGGCATTTTTACTTTAATTTTAAAAGATTGTGACATGACCAACAGAAAAAGTAATTTACAATGAATTATGAGAGCTGATTTATGAAAATGACCCTTATTCAATAGGAAAACATAATCTAACACCTCGTTCATTTATGATGCAAATAAGCTGAATGGCTGAGTGTGTTCAATTTGAAAATAAAGAGTTAAAATGCCGGAATCGCAAAAACAGACGTTGGACATCAGAGTAATCTCGGACTATGAGTATGAGTTTTAGGCAATTTGTAGGGGAGAGGTTTCAAGGGAAGCAAATGCTCTTTAAATTATGCATGTTTCAAAAATTGGGGAAAAATTACACAGAGAGTTGAGTCATTTTTTTCAGACTTAATTTAAATAATGACTAATGTAGACTTACCTTCTAATTCTATAAAAAAAAAATTCACAACTACTGAACAGGAACAATCATGGTACTTTTTTGTCTATGAAACTACACTATGACATCTGATCTGCAAAACTTACAAACAGACACAGAAATATCATCAAAAAGTGAAATATAAGATTGATTGCACCTTGTATGGGATAGTTCCGACACGTGTTACATGGGGAGCCCGTTTGTTTACAAATAATAATGTCACGTGATCACACACTGACCGTCACAAATTTTTATCCTCCGCCATTATTCTTATCAGCTTATTACACAATATTACTGTACTTGCACAATTCACAACCCATTTATCTTGCGGACATGCAATGGGAATGTGCACGGTTATCAAAAACTTCAAAAATATTGCATGTACAGTTAATGAAAAAGTTATTTCATTAAATAGATAAGATTTTCACTCATGACACAAATTGAATGGGTGTCATCGCCATCGGCATCGGAGATAATTGATAAATGGGATTAAATTGACCACCAAGAAGGTGAAGAGAACCACCTCTGGAGAACCTTAACATTAATAAGTAATACTCACCAAAATTTCTCTATAATTAACGCTATTTTCTGTTGGAAAATTTGAGAAAGATGCTGATAAACTTATTTAGTGACACAGATTATTTTCTTGTTTTGGCGCGAAATATATTCTTATTCTTAATGCTTGACGTAACAAAAATTTGTATAGAATTATATTTTACTAAAGCGTAAATATGCAGAAGCATGACAATACATTAATGTTAAAATGTGTAAATATTTCTGTAAAAGAATATAATTTTACTTTACCAGTATCTTTCACTTAGATATACATTTGAGCGCAAGAAAATCTCTATGTGAATCGGCTGAATCCCGGGGTCGAAGTTCAACATATCAACGGAGATTTTTGCGTGTGCTTGCGTTGCTTTAGATCAAGGCCACAGCTTTTCAACCAATCGGGGAATGTTTACTTGGGGCATACATCTATTTTTACTACAGGTTTCGACATGTTTAAATCGGGATTATAGAAAAATGGAATGTTGTTGGTAAATACAAAACAGAAAATGATGAACACTTTTAGCAAAAGATAAATTGGATTGGGAGTCTGTGAATTCATATTATTTGTACAACTCTCCTTACTCTTGGGAAGAGTGTGCTTTACATCGAGGCTTGCGTTGCTTTACATTGACTCCATAGTAGTTCAACCAATCGGGGAATGTTTATTTGGGGCATACATCTATTTTTACTGCAGGTTTTGGCTTTTTTTAATCGAAATTAGAGAAAAATGGAATGATGTTAGGAGATATAAAACAGAAAATGATAAATATTTTTAGCAAAAGATGAATTGGATCGGGGTTCTGTGTATTCACATTATTTGTACAACTCTCCTTACTGATGGCAAAAAATGGAATTTCCGTGACCTAAATGGTTCGCGAAAATTAATATTTTTATATATATATAGTAATGATGCATAAAGATTAAAATGATTTAAAACCTCTCTTTTTAAATTTGGCGAGTAAAAATTTTACTATGAAATAAGTAATTGTACTGATATCAATTTTACCAGTATAAGGATTAAAACATCTATTGTATTACGTTACAGTAGAGTACAAATGATGGAAAGCATGAAAGAAGGTCCAAATGTCCAGAAAGGATAAATGGTGTATCGTCCCCCCATAATACAATGTTATAAAACTTCATTTTATAACCTTAATTTTCTGCTTCTAATTAAAATTGCTGGAGAAGCTACCAAGAAAAAACTGGAATGTTGCATATTGAATTTTTCTGAAGAATTACTATCACACTATTTTTATGTTATCTTAATGTGATAATAAAAGGTTTGACACAAAATATTGAAATGAAAATAAATAAAATAATTTATCTACACTGATTTAAGTTGCCTATTTAAAAAGATATCATATATATATGAACTTACTGATTTCATGAATGAACATTTGTTTACCATGCCCTTGGCCATCCTTAAAAGGACATAAACTGTCAAATTCGTGTTCAACGATTTGACTTAAATTCTTATATTTTATTTATAACATACTTTAACGTATTTCGAAAATACAAAAATTCTAAAATAAACATCGAGATTAACAATGCATGAATCAGGATTTCGTGTTTTTTTAAGTCTAGGAGCCATCTACGACCTACGAAGACTGCCGACGGTCATTTAACCCTATATAAACATAAATATAAGTATAAATAGATTTCGAGCACGTGCAATTGGATCCAGCTAGGTCTGTTTAATTTCATGTTGTAAGTTAAAAAAAATATGTTAATCATCGTTTTTACCTGTATAAGAATGATATTTGTGGATCGAATCAGTCAAAGAAGTGGTTAACCTTTGCTTCACTTTTAATGTTGACATTCTTTTCCTTTTGATAGACGAACGCGCCTAGTACATGCGTAACCCATCTTCATGTAAGATGTTAAATTGAAGGTCACATGAATACGGATTCACGTGAGGTTGAATTATTGACTAGCAAGTCTAAAAACATTTGGTAGCGATGTTTTTGAGCTTATTTTGACAAATTTGGGCGAAACTAGTGCTTGTAACGAAATATTATTTTAAAAGTCCGCTTTTATTAATACTTGAAATAAACAAAAATCGTATTTTAAATGTTTATCTAAATCGTAGCTAATGCCACTTTAAGGGAAATTAACGACGAATTAGACAAAACAAAAAAATACGATGTTTTTTTTTGTTTTAAACATTAAGAAATTAAGAAATGCGGTATATAGAAACAACATTTCGCCCTTTGCATTCAGGTTAGTTAAATAAGCTAAGAAACGTCGCTGATGTATTATTGGCTTGCAAGTGAACAAATTAACCTTATATGGATCCGTATTCATGTAACCTTTATTTGATCCAACTTTGATTGCGAATAACAAAGTTATGGCAATAGAAAATTTAAAGTATTTTAACATACTACATACGGGTATACACGTAAACAGAAGGTTGATTTTTTGGCGGACGAAATATCCATTTTTACCCATTGGAAGTCAGGCTTATTCTAACTTTTATAGACGATTATTTCCTGCATTTTGTGGGGCAGAATATTCATTTAAAAATTCACCGTGTGTTTTATTTGATATGCTCATACTGCAAAATGTTACTGGAAATGAACTGAATATTTAGATTGTATTAGCACAAGTCATTTTCGCTTATTCTGAAGTTAGCTTAGAAAGTATTCGTCGTTCATATTTGTTATCCAATACCTAAGGATGTGAGTCGATCAATTTAATTAAGCATGAAACAATATATATAAAATGTATAAAAATTTATTTGAACAGCAAACACGTGACATTTAAGCTTATGCTAGCGTATACATATTATACCTAAATATAAAAAAAATTAACATATACATTGTATATACATGTATAAGCAGATACATTGTCCTATTTTGTGCATCATCAACAAGTATATTGTACAATTATATACACACAATATGAAAAAAAAACTGGCAATATTTATTTGTTCGGAGAAAATACGAGAAATATGTTAAAATAAATTTGTCATTAATGTATCAAGGCAATCGATAAACTATAGAAAGAGAAAAAATATACTACCTGTAGTAAACAACCATATATATTAAAATGAACAATCATTATATGAATAATTAACTAGCAATAATCATTATTAAACATATTTCCACAAATATATTATATGTTCAAGCAGTTATTATTTATCATGATTCTGTAATAAAAAAAATACGCCATATTCTAGTATATGTGGCTTGTAGATTTGAGATTATCTGAATCAAATTAGTCGATGATTATCTTCCAATAAGGGTACATGTATATTTTTTTTTTTTTTGTGTGTTTTTATTTATTTTATTTTTTTATTATAGAAAAAAACGACATGGACACTCATTCAAAATGTATTCTGTCTAAATAAAATTCAATAGGGTAAACTGAAGGAGAACAAACCTAAAAAATGTATTGACTTGATTCTATGGTACATTATCCTATGCAGAACAGAGCTTAAGTTTTCCAATTTTAAAGAATAAAGCGTCTTTTTCCTAGACTTGTTCCTCGTCAATTGTACAACATGGTTGATGTTGTTTTAACGTCCTACACAGGAACTTAATGTTCTTAGTCTGACATCGGAGTCAATGAATAAATTTGATGGTATTACTTCGGTTTTCCCCCAACCAAAGACCAGTATGGTGTCGTGAGTCTGATAGAGTCTATCAAGATAGCTGTTCCTCGAGATCGAAAACAGCAATGATATATACCGTAGATATGATCACTTGCGGATTCGTTATATTGCATCAAGGAACGCTTCCACGGTCCATGTTTACATGATTGTCCGACAACTGGAATCAAGAAACATGTGTATTCAGTCAAATAGCATTTAGGCTTCGTAATTCTGGAGATTAAATATGAATAAACACATATGTGGGGCATACGTCAATGAGACAGCAACCCAACAGCAAAAAAAACTAAAAGACATTTAAAGGCCTTCCTCAGAAGACAGGTGTCTATACAATATGTTAAGTTCTATATAGCCCTAGTCTAAAAAATAGTAAATAAATTTAAAAGAGCTTCCAAACATCTGCCACAATTCCTCAAAGTGAAAAAAAGATAGGACGAAGGACAACCAAAGAGGTTCCTGACTTGGGACAGGCACATGAACATGTGGTGGGATTAGACTAGTTTTTTTCAACCTTCCCCCCTTTTAACCTCGATCAGTTATAACTAACAAAGATCAGTTAATTTCAGTTCTAAAACGAAAAACAAAACAAAAACAAACAAAAAAACAGTGCAGAAATGCACTTAACACTAAATAACGTATGCTATATATGCATAATACGTATGTTGTATTGATTTCTATATGGGTTGAATATATACCATCGTGCAGACATATTAACACATCTGCTTTCTAGAACGAAAGAACTTTACTAAAAACTAACATACATCAAGATAAAGGAATATATATTTCAATTTTCAGTCAAAATACATGCTTAGTAATATACAAAATAACTAGGTGGCTGTCTGAAGAAAAATCTTTATCTAAATCAAGGTAAAAATAAAACTATGTCCATATAAATGATGGTTATAAAGTGAAAATAGAATGTTTGAAATGTGCATTGTCTTGATTTTCAACTATTAATGAATATGTACCCTAACTATTATCTTTGAGTATCGTTCAGTTTTACGCTCTAAACAAGTTTTTATTGAAAAATATTTACTTAAGACGACCTCTTAATTTTCTACACGCAATAATAAAGCATCGTGCTAATTTACGGTGTCGACGTGTGGCGTGGTTTGGCAGGAGAGTACTAAACGATTTGCAAGAGATGACACATTTAAGTGTCTTCCCTACTGAGATATTCGAATCATTTTAAGGTCACTGAATTCTTAACCTTAGATAGGGTCATATAAAACCTGTCAGATTTGATATTAAATAACGTAGTCAGGGTCGGATCCAGGATTTTAGGTTAGGGGGCGAAAACTTAAATTTTTTTTTGAGGTAAATTATCGAAGTATTCTTTATTAAGCTGAGGACAACCCATGCTTTGCAAATTTTAGGGGGCGCACGCCCGCCAAGCCCCGCCTGAATCCGCCCCTGGTAGTGATTTTTTTTTTCAGTTATATTTTGTCATTAAGATATTGTCTTTTTATTTATTCCTCACATCTTTTATTTTTTATCTCTTCACATAAATAAAAATCAGATACACGATATATGTGTCGAATCTTGTATAATTAAAATAAAATAAAAAACGTTTAAAGACTTTAATCAGACTACTGGAGCATGCAAATGAGGTCGAAGGTATATGCATTATGTCAGCCAAAAATATATACTCCATATAACATATTATTCACAAATGAAGTATTGCTGACCTATGATGTAAAGTTACTGAACCAAACACGTGAAAAAGCTATAAGATATAAGAGCAAACGTAATACCCAAGTCTCAACTTACGGCTTACACGATTTTCATAATTTATGCAAAATGAAATTGACCTAGAAATTTGACGAAATTATGTATATAGTGTCAGTTGCCTTATTACTAATACAACAAAATACATATATACATTAAATAATACAAAAAAAACTCCACAAAGTTTGCAAGGACTGCGATACAACATTTCTCATTTGAGACCTGAACATGCATGAAATATTTGCCATTGGACGTTAAGCAATCAACAATCAATCAATCAATGATTTGAGACAGTTAAATTTTCCATTATAAAAGCAAGACATTGTAATTTTAAATAAGCTTACTAATTTAAAAAAAATAACAATCAGTCGATAAAATAAAAAATCAAAGTAAAAATTTAAGAAAATAATAACACGATTTTCAAAGAAACATCCTAATCTTAAAATAGGTGAAATTAATAACCCATAGATATATTGATAGTACATGTATAAGTGGTATATTAATTACACTAATATTGCTACTATCACTGTAACAAATATCCATAAAATTAAGATATTGAATTATGATCCTTTTGCGATTAGAGTTTAAAATATGTTGACAAAAACAATGATATTCATATTTAGAAAGGAATTTTCCACACGAAAAATCGCTCTTATCTATAGCTGACAGAATTTCACAATAATTGGGAAAAAATATCATAGGACCACGAATTAGAAATGGTCAAGCGAATTCATGCCACCGGTTCGTGGTTGGCAAGACTTGTACATCCAAAAGGTTCTTTTTTGGCTACCTGGTAACAACACTTCCAAAGCATTACCGGGTTTGTTTTGCTGTAGTTTACCGCACGGACAGGTTTTTCAGGGTGGAAACGACACTCCTCGTCACCATCTGTAATTGCAGAGTGGCAGTGTTTGCATTCTGTTATTATGCTTCTTTTGAATCGCTTTGATTGTCTTGGTCTAATATCTCTCATCTGATCATTTTCGTAATGCATGATCCTTGCCTTCACTTTGGTCATTTCCTTTGACATGGATCGTATAAGCTCATCTTTTTGTTCTATCTGTAATGAAAAAGTATCACAAATATATAAATAAACTTTCTGTTGATTTCTACATAATTTAGTTTTCAATTTGGATGTAATACGTCTTCTATTTCATAATTTGGCTGAAAGTTTTTTGTCTATCAATTCATAGACATGATTTTGTCATGTGACCGTGACGTCATCAACGTTTTTTTTATGATTTACTCCTTAATTGGAATTTAGAATTAAATTATAAGGAACGACTGTAATATTTTTTTCTGTCTATTCGAAATAACCTAAAAAAATGTGGTGCACACTTTAAAATAACCCGCTACGCCACATTTTTTATGTTATTTCTTCATAGACAGAACAAATATTACAGTCATTCCTTAAGGATGTATTCTTCTGATATTTCAGTCTCGTTGCAATCTCGTTCGGGAGTTATTTCCAAAACATGTGATACAAATGGAAAATATCAATGAATTTAAAAAATATTATAGTCAAACTAAATTCTGTGAAAAAAATTGTGTACTTACAATAAGTAGTTTTTGAGTAATAAAATTTTCAAATTTAATAAACAATCCGGTAAGTGTCATCAGCTAAAATCTTGAGAAAATGGGTGAGGGGTACAAAAAATTATTTTACTAAAAATTTGTACATCCCATATCATTTTTTTCTTTTCAAAATTCTTAGACATGTATTTTTCAATCATTTATAACAAAGAAGTTGAAATAATATTTTTTTTTGTTCTAAAAAAAAGAGAAAAATCCCAAATTTACAAAATTGACAGCATGGTCAATTTGACCCGAAAAAGCAACAAAATTTTATAAAACTTTCTAATATTAACACCACCCCATAGTTTTTTTAAGTTCAATTTGTTCAGATTGGTCCACTTCATCTTTAGTAAAAGTATGAAAAAAGTTTAATTGTGAAACTGTAATTTTTTTCATGATAATAGCCCTAAAATGGGTAAAAAATGATGAAAAATGGGAAAATCATCAAAAATGGGGTACTTTCAAATGGCCGTAGCAAGAAAGAAGTGCACCATCACATGATTTTTTTCTTCATCAATTACTTTCTTACAGTCATATAAACCCCAAAATCAGGTTAAGAAAAGTTTAATTCTAGAAATGTTTGGCTCCTCAGAGGTGTACATCCTTAAATAAACGGTTAGAAAATTAATATAACTTTAAAAAATAAATGGGGAATGTGTCCATGGGACACAGATGATGCCCCGGCTTGCATATCATTTAAAGTTATAAAGGGACATAACTGAAGAACGGTAAAAGTGACGCTACCCAAATTTGTTATTGATCTGAGTTTTGTAGTAATAAGTATCGTGTATTAGTTTCATAACATTTGGTTGAGGCAAACTTAAGTTAGAGAACGGAAACGAAAAATTCAGCATTGTTTTCCTTTTGTAAAGGGGTATAACTCTAGAACAGTACGAGTGACACCACCAATAATCAAACTTGATCTGTATGTTGTGGTAATAAGCATTGTGTATAAGTTTCATAACATTTGGTTGAGGCAAACTAAAGTTAGAGAACGGAAACCAACTTTGGGACGTACGGTTAAAGTGACGCCACCAAATTCAAACTTGATCTGTGTTTAATGGTAATAAGCATTGTGTATAAGTTTCATAACATTTGGTTGAGGCTAACTTAAGTAAGAGAACGGAAACGAAAAATTCAGCAATTTTTCGATTTGTAAAGGGACATTACTCTACAAAGGTTAAAGTGACACCACCAAAATTCAAACTTGATCTCTATTTTGTAGTAATAAGTATTGTGTATAAGTTTCATAACATTTGGTTGAGACAAACTTAAGTTAGAGAACGGAAACGAAAAATTCAGCAATTTTTCCATTTGTAATTGAGCATAACTCTAGAACGGTTAAAGTGACGCCACTAAAATTCAAACTTGATCTGTGTTTAGTAGTAATAAGCATTGTGTATAAGTTTCATAACATTTAATTGAGGCTAACTTAAGTTAGAGAACGGAAACGAAAAATTCAGCAATTTTTCCATTTGTAAAGGGGCATAACTCTAGAACGGTTAAAGTGACACCACAAATAATCAAACTTGATCTGTATTTTGTGGTAATAAGCATTGTGTATAAGTTTCATAACATTTGGTTGAGGCAAACTAAAGTTAGAGAACGGAAACCAACTTTGGGACGTACGGACGTACGTACGGACGGACAAGGGTAAAACTTAATGCCCCCTCCGCTACGGCGGGGGCATAAAACAATTTGACATGAAAATAGGTTAATTTAGTTATATTGGTATTACAAAGTTGGTATATAATCCTAAATTAACGGAGACGTTGTTTATAGTAAATTTATTGGTCCTTTGAATGAACTTATTCTGAAAGGAAATCAATATAACTGCTGTTAGATCATTAAAAATTGCATTTATCGGTACTATAATTGTTTTTGTTTAATACATTGTACTTAACATGTATTGCTGTCCAGTTATTAACACGTATAGTCCTACATCCTCTAAATACTTATATTTTGACGTTACAGAAGTTAATGCTTTTCTATGACTGATTAAAGGGTCTTTTCACAAAATTCCTTCGACGATAATAATGATGATGCTGACATGCATATATATTAGGACGAGAAGCGATAAATGAAATATGAGTTTGAACTCTGCCTTGTACTAGACCGATAAAGTGCTAGTCCGCAAGGTCCACATGAAGATACTTCACCGCACTCGAAACTTGATGGAAGTGAACTGATTGATACAAAAGACTGGGAAACATGGTTTAATTATAAGTTGACATGGACTTGAACCAGCGTTCAGTAACTGTGTGAGTACTCTATGATCAACACTTTGTGTTTTCTGTCAGTTTGTAATGTGTGTTTGTGCTTAGTACCGATCTGATGAATCAAGCCCTTCCCAACTCAGTTTTACAGTTTGTTCTTATGTTGTGTTGTAACACACATTTCCCAAGTAAGAAGAGGTTTTAGCGCAAACAAACATGTATAATTTATAAACGCATCAAAAATATCAAGCTTATAATTCTGTACCCTCTAATTTCGAAAGGTTTTCCCAAATACAGTTAAGTTTATATATTCATAGGGTAGAACAATCTTTAGTATTTCGAACAATTCAAAGTTTGTAATCAGTTGATAATTCAAGCATACACAGAAGTTCTAACTACTGGTCTGGTGATACCCTCGGGGAGGAAACCTCCACCAGTAGTGACATCGACTCAGCGGTTCTAAATAAACTCATCAAAGATACCAGAAGTGGTATCTATTGAGCTGGTGATACCCTAGAGGAGGAAACTTCCACCAGCAGAGGCGTCATTTTGTAAACAGTTAATTTATTAATATGACCATATCAATTATTACTCATATAATCACAATAGTGCTGACTACTAGGCTGGTGAATACCCCGGGGAGGAAACCTCCACAAACAGAGGCATATACCCAGTGGATGAAAATAAATTCATCAAATTTACCAATAGCGCTGACTACTGGACTGGTGATATCCTCGGGGAGGAAACCTCCATCAGCAGGGGCATCGACCCATTGGATGTAAACAAATTCATCAAATTTACCAATAGCGCTGACTACTGGACTGGTGATATCCTCGGGGAGGAAACCTCCATCAGCAGGGGCATCGACCCATTGGATGTAAACAAAATCATCAAAGATACCAATAGTGCTGACTACTGGACTGGTGATATCCTCGGGGTGGAAACCTTAATATATCCTTTATGTGTCTGTTCAAAGCCACGAACCTGTTATCCAATGGCTATTGTTGGTTTTTGTCTGTCATAATGGTATTTTCTTAGTTATTGTAGTATTAATCAGGTCGTTTTTTTTTATCTTTTTATTCGTTTCACATCTTGCTATCCCGGTGCTTATTATCAATATTTCTTTTGCTCATTGTTGAAGGCCGTACAATGACATGTTTAGTACTTTGTCATTTGGCATTTGGTCGTTGATGAATAATTGTCACATTGGTTATCATACTATGTTTTTTTGTAATGAGGTATGTTCCATCAACAGATACAAAAAATCTAGGAATATTTTATTTCAATTTCAGAGTTGATTTTTTTTTAATCGAGCCGAGTCTGTTTTTTTCTCTCAATTTGGTTTGTGTCGAGTTAAAGATTTTAAAACCTTCAAGCTAACATAAGAGAAAACTCGCACAAAATTAAAAAAGAATTTTTGAAATATTTATTATTTATTTTAGATCTCATACTACTATCAGCAAGAGAATGCAAAAATACAGAGAATCACAACTTTGGTCTTGTTTGAATTAGATGTTCAAATTTAACCCATTATCTTGATATGATGACCTGAAAATATTTCGAATACTATTTTAATATCATTATGAAAATTGGACATATTTATATCAATTATATACAACGTTTGTGAAGTATTTGCATCAAATTCTAATTTAAAATTAGAATACCTGTAATCTTTGTTTGTGTAAAATATCGTACATGTCGTTGATTCTCTCGTCACCTTGACTCTGCAGTTGTCTCATGTTTTGTTCATATCTCTCCCTCTGCAAAATATGTCAAAGATAAGGAGATGAGCGGTGGATATTTATATAAAAAATTGTAAGGGGTTCATCGGAACCCTGTGTCTCGCCTATGATTGCTGCTGTTGATGTGTAATGATGACTTAAAAAGTGAGTCCATTTATCAGTAAAAAATACAGAATTAAAAAAAATCAAACTTTCTCTTTTGATGCTTTTTCTTGGTCTCGAAGATTAGCTTCTGTCCAAGTTTCATAACAACCCATGACGGTTAACAAACTTATCATGTCAAAAACATTTAATCCCAGACTGTCTGTAAATGTTAACTGTAAAAGAACTAATTCCATCTATCAGAAAAATACTGAAAATGAAAATATATTTCAAAAGTTTGCTTCAGACATTATCTCTTAATCATAAAAAAGTTTCAATTATCTGTATACAAGTGGTAATATGTGTTATCAATTCACATACAATGATTTATAATCAGACACATTTTCTTACAGCAAGTGTTAAACTAATGTATTTCCAGTTAATATAATTAGGTAGTTAGATTAAAACTAAGGTTGAAACTGTGTCATGAGGCTTGTTTCTGTTCTATTCTTAGGCCCGTGAGGTTTTTATGCTGTCAAAGTATAATTGGTCGTCATTTTGGATTAAGATTTATTTTAAATTCATCAAGGCATCGATTTGATAAGGGATCCCGGCGACTTACTGTATTTGAATAACATTCGTCAGGAGCCTTTCGTGCAACGTGATCGCCGTTTTTTATTTCACGTTCAACGTGTTTTTACTTTTTTATTTGACGTTCAGTCGTGCAAGACAGGTGCATCGTTCAACGTGTTCTGCTTATTTAATTTTACGTGCATCGTGATTTTCAAATGTTTATTTTGCGTGCTCGGTATTTTTCAAATAAAATTCAAACACTTGGCAGGGATCGTCAAGAAAAAAATGCATAGTTTAGAAGATCGTTATATATAGTTTTTTAAAAGCCGTAAACCATTTATATTATACTAAATCGGGAATATCAAGTAAAACAGAGAGTTTTTATATACAAGAAGACATTGAATCAGTCACAAAAGGTTCACATTAAAGTCTTTATTTTTCGTGCAACGTTCATGACAGAAATTATTTCACGTTCAACGTGAAATTATGTCTTATTTCACGTTTTTTTTCGTGCAAGCACCCCTTTACCACCCTCCTTCATGATTACTGAAACTTTAAATGGTAAAATTAATTTACAGTTGGGAGCATCTAAAGCAATAGGACCTAAATAGAACAGTCAAATTCGTCTAAGATTATTGCAAAGACATGACTACAACACTAACAATCAAGTTACAATAACAGCAGTTAGTCATTTCTTTTCCTGTTCTTTTAACGGTAAATTAAAAACATAGTATCATTCAACTGTTTCGGTTCTTATACATCCTTGGCTTTCAAATATTCTGCTTTGAGCGTTAATGATGAAGGTAAATCTAGAAAAGCGCTTCGGACGCATGAAAGTTATAAAGTGTTTTTATAATTTTTTTTCTTTTTTTTATAGTTATGAAAAAAAACATTACCTCATTTTCAACACCATCCTCTAATTCTCTCATTTTCCTTCTTACATCTACAAGATACATTTAAATATTGAATCATACACAGAAAATTGAAAACTTCTTGAAGATAGAAGAGAGACAAAAAAGTGCCACAGGCTTTAAGAAACCCTATTTTGTTTTGAATATTCAGACCAAATTGACTAATATTTATCTGGTTTCTGAGAGGGTCTTTAAGAGCACAAGCGTGTAGGGTAATATTATATTAGAAAATATACAGTTCTAAGCTTCATGCTAGAATTGATGTTCTACAAAGAAAACAAATAAATGTCACGGCATGAATCACCAGTGGAGCAGGAATTGTTTACCCTTCGACAGCACCCGAGTATATGCCTCCTCCAACCCCTTCCCATTGTCAAGCGGATGGGGTTCGTGTGGGTTAATATTTGGGTTTCTGCGTTCTGAGTATTGTTGTTTTGTCTTTTGGTCAGGTTGTTGTCTGGCATTCTTCGAAATACTGTTTGTTGAAACCAATATTATTCTTTATCTTGATCAGAAATAACCTAACCATAATCATATATTTACCGTTGTTTTCGCGTTTTAACGTCAATGTTTGTTGCTGTAGTTCATCATTCTTATTTTCCAAATCATATTTTTCTTCCCGTATTGTATTGATTATCGAACACAGTTGTTCCAAATCTGCATTTGATGTAGGCTCTGTGTTTCCAATATAAAAACGATTTGCTTCCGTCCTAGATGAAACTTCCTCCCTATCCTGATCGGAGTCTGGGGGATTGTTCATTGACCTATGAAATATAATACAAAAAAAATTATCGAGTATTTGAAACAATGACTTCACAATTCAACATAAAGAGAATGTGTCATTAACGATCTTTCCATTACAACGGTTAAATCGAGCTTATTAGTAGCAATTAGCTGCTGACATGATACACATGATGAACCTATACGCCATACACGGGTTACGTTTTGTATTAGTGGATAAATGGCAGGGTCTACAGTAGATATAACGTGCAGGGCTCTCGGTCATAAAACTTTACTCAGTACTCGCAGTACAAAATTTGTGCTCGAAACACCAAATCCAGTATTTTGATTGGTTTCTCATAACATATGTTATTTTGGGTGTATACTGCAAATTTCATGTTTATTCTTCCAGTTATTTTGAAGCGATTTTTTTTCCCAATAGAAGGCAAATTTCGCTGATATTGACTTGTCACTGAGCATAGCTGTGTAAAGTGAAAGTTGATAAGTACCGTATAATTAGTCAAGAGTTTGCTCTGACATTTGGTGGCTTCCTTAATGGTAGATGAGGCCCAACAAGTCCTAAACAAAGCCCTCAGACGTCAGAGCAATATCGGACTTTAGTATAATATGTCTTTCTTTTGACACATAATAAAAATTGCAAGTCACATGACGAAATTGTTTTCCGTAATATGAGTAGTATACCATTTAACTGTTTGACAATACGACATATTTTTTGTATTGATTTTTAAAATCATTCAAGGGTTAAATTATATATATATGTGTGTAAAACAAATTAAATGCATCACTGACAGTTTTAGTTTTCCCTTGAAAACGAAAAGCCTCACATAATCTGACCTAAATTGTTATACTTATATACGTCATATTAAATTTGAGCTTTATACTAATTAAACACCTATTTCAAATATAGATACATTATTGGTTGTTTTGTTCTCTTTATAAAGAAAAAAACATAATAATTTGGTCAATATTTTCTTTCCTTCACACAAGGACACCTTCCGTATAATTGTTTACATTTTATTCAGGAATGAAAGTACCATATGAAAGACAAATCGATATTATATTGAAAAGAACGAATTTCGATATTTTTCTTTCATTCATACTTTATATTTTCTTAGTTTTAACTTTTAAAATACTTACTTTTTTTATTTTAATCCAATGTCTTCTGTGTAAACACGGTTACCTCTGTCTTCTAAATAATGGGAATTCCCACAATGGTCACGTGAAAGGTATAAGTTCAATATTCATTTCTAATAATGATATAATCATTTGTGTTACATTTATATCGGAATTGTTTAAAATGTGCACCCAGGCATCAAGTCATTCTTGTCTAATAACTTTCTTTTTTATGAGAAAAAGGCCAATCGATAATGTAGGTTACAGGGAAACCCTAACAATAGATTTCAGTGAATATCTTTGCATCTTCAGTTTCACTAGATTTTCTTTTCATTTCATTAATTGAATAAACACAAGCTTGAAGTCCAATAAATACCGCCCCTGGCCGTTATCTCTTCAGTTATTCTTACCATGGCTAACTTCTACACACACTTAGCACCCAAGATCATTTTCAACAAAGATCCTTCATCAGTCATTGACTACTTTAGAGAACACAAGTTACTTGCAGATAACTGCAATTGTCAGACATGCAAGATGCCAATGGAACTAACACCTAGACCAACTGGCAGCACTTCAGATGGATGTGCTGGCGCTATTCTAATCTAGGCGCACCTTTAAAACAATTCGTGCTGGCTCATTCTTTGAAAAGTCAGGCATAACATTAGACACATGGTTGTACACAATCTACATGTGGCGTCAAGAAACCAAAGTAGCAGCAAAAAGTGTAGTTATATCTGAAAGGTCTACCATCTAAATGTTTCATTACCTAAGAGAAGTCTGTTCAACCAAATTAATCCAGACACCACCCAACTTGTAGGGCCAGGAGTTGTTGTACAAATAGATGAAAGTTTATTCAACCACAAGGCAAAACACAACTGTGGCAGGAGAGCTACATTTTTGTAACAAAGAAGGTGAACTCTGGGTATTTGGACTTGCAGATACATCATTTATGCCTGCAATAACTTACATGGAGCTGGTGCCAAAGAGAAAATTAATGCAGACACACTATTGCCCATCATTCAACGTATTGTGATGCCATATTCAATTGTTTATTCTGACCCAGTGGAGAGCGTACAACAAAATTCAAGATGACATGAGCCTTGAGCATACCATAGTAAATCACTGCCTGCATTTTGTGGATCCAGACACTGATGTCCATACACAGACCATACAATCATACTGGGCCAAAGCCAAGTACAAACTCAAGGAAATAAAAGGTGTTTCGTCTGATGCTTTGCCTTCATACTTAGTAGATAAGAGAATGTGGCGGCACAGGTGGGGTCAAACAGGAGAAAAAAACCAACAATACTGGAATAAAATTTAATACCAGTATTGTTAGCAATTTTGTAAATGGCATAGATAAACAAGTAGCCTTTTGGTGTTTAAGCTAAGATGCCCTCATATTTCACTAATTTTAAAATAAAAAAATCAAGAATCTGCCTTTTTCTTAAGTTCGCTAACATTTGCCTTTGTTTTGTTTTGTGTGGTTTTTTTCACCTTGATTTTTTTCGGCGGAAAGGGGGATTCCTTCCCCGATTTAGTATTCAAGAGAATCTCTTGTACCCAATACACATGTTTCAAGTAACTGTCAACCACCTGTAAGTTCGTTTTATGGCACTTTTTCGTTTTGTTAATACGAAACCTGTATTTTAACTAGTGAGAGACAGCCAGTCGCGCAAGCGGATGCTTAATAAAAACAAACTTTTTTGGAATTACTGAATGTAATTATTCTTGATATTGCAAACTATTGTTTTCATTGCAAGTGCCTAAAATTACTGAGTTACAATGAACCATACATATATTGACTGGATATGTGTGGCAGTAAATGATACCTGCATCAGTGTATATAATGTGCGAATCCTGAAATACCATTTTCACTGTATGCGCTATGAATTCTAATGTAGAATTATAAATAAACAGACGACAAATTCACAATTTTTGAATAAAATAAGAAATAAAGTATTATATGTACCGTTTTTATAAATTCATGATATAGGTAAGAGATGCGAACAGGTTGTCATCGCGCCTACAGCCATCCTGGTGTAAAATTGATACACACATAGATACATATTAAGAATAGTTCACGAACAGAGCGTGCAAGAGATTTAAAAGCAACAGTTAAGTTTCATTTGCAGAAAAATGTACCTTTTAACATAATTATTAATGTTGCATAACTTAAAACATGTTTTGTCGTTCAGCGTGTTGATGTTGAATTAAATTCCACTATGCTGTTTTCGTTATGCGATTCATGTTTACAGTCGATAATGATACTTGACTTTTATTTTCACTGTAGGGCGATTCATTTCTATTGTATATGCGATGCATTTTCACAGAAGGAAATTAATTAATTTTCATTATATAAAGTCTCAATTCAGCCGACTCTCTAACAAAATGTATGAAGTCAGAAGGACTGATTATATATGCATACTTTTTGAGTGAAAGTCTGAGGTAATATATGAATAAATTCCGTAAAAATAACATTTATGGCTAATATAGTCAATTCTATTTTCTCTAATAATTTGTCCAGATCTATATTTAGGATAAATTTTATCCTTTCCTATGACGCCATCATTGAATACATATATCTTGGACAGTAAAGCCAATCCACGTCACCGAAAAAGCAAAGTTTTCGGTTTCGGTCTAAATCTGCATCACAAACTAATAAAACGTCATTAGAGCTATTTTCCTAATGCTTGCAGATTAAAGGTGTGGTTGGCTTGCTTGCTTTTTTGTATAAATGTTTGCTTAAATATTGTAATTAAGTTTGAGCAAACATTTATACAAACAAAGCAAGCAAGCAAACCAAACCTTTAAACTACAAACATTAGGAAAATGGCTCTAATGGATGCATCTTAGATAACAAAGAGCATTCAAAGAAGCGAGGTTGGTAGATAGACCGTCCTAATATTTTCACCAAAGACCAATTGACGCACAGTTTAGTTAAGTATTCAATGTTAAAGTAAACAAATTTTTGCTCCTGACAGCATTGTATATTATTTATATTACATGAACACCATGTGACTATTTTAAATAGACAGGTCTGTGAATTACTTGTAAACATCGCGAAAAAAAACATTCTGTGTAACTCAAACTTGATTAAACTACAAATAAAGCATACTTGGTTGGCCATAAAGATACGTTATATTCATGGATGTTCTACTCCAGTTTATTTTCGGATCCAGGACACACTAACGCAAACTCACCAAAAATATTTGAATATGCATGATATGAACGTGTATCACCTTAAGACGATGTGACACATATCACCCCGACCTTCGTGTGAGCTTGACCTTTGACCTCAAGATCAAAATACTGGATTTCTTAGAAACTTGATTGCAATCAGGCGCGATGAGTGGGCTTCTCTTGCTCTAGTAAGTTATGTTTCACGTCAAACAAATACAAAATTCATGCTGTTTTAATCTTAGATAGGACATGTTAGAAATTTCAAATAGTTTTAGTAGTTGCAATTGCTTGCTAACAAAAAATAAAAGATAGGTATTTCAATAGAAACAGCAAATTATGTTCTCGATGCTTTACTAACGAATGGTACAGAACTATACCGAAAACTCGCAACGAACGTACAGAAAAAATAATCGACGAACGGTACACAACGCACAATGTCCGGAATCACCCATACGTTGGTTATACCCGTGTATATATTCAAGAAAGCATCTACGACTAGCTTGCATTTCAAATTGTAATATCATCAAAATTAAAGTTATTAAAAGACTATTTTCAGTTGTCGCATGTCGAATTTTCATATGAAACAACAATGAAAATTCATCGCAACTCCAAAAATTCCACATCAGAAATGATCGCACTTACAGTGATAATGCGCATTTAGTTAAAATGAATCGCATTCAGTAATCAATATCATAGATTCAGCTGCGTTAAAACACCTTTTTTTACTTTAATCCTGTTATTATACATTAAAAAGTTATATTCTAATGAAATTGTGTTAAAACATACATTCAAATCAATTATTTTGTATTTTCAAAAAGTAAACAAACGCAGTTTTTCCCATCATCCTTTATTCTACAATAGACATACTCACGTACAACAGTGAAAATGAACTAACTCGCACTTTATATACACTGTGCATAACGTTCCGTCACCCGAGATGGTTTAAATCAGACTGGTCAACTTTTTTTTTAGCCTATTTGATTTTCGTTATTAACAATGAATCAAATTAGATTTTCAGGAAGGAAAAGGCAAACTATGCACGTTGTCAAAATTCGCCTTAGCCTGGAGTGTAAAAGTGAAATGTTGACCGTCAAACATTTATCGGATAAATACAAACAAAAGAATTAAACAAAAACTTAATGCCTTCTGCCATAATCTCTTGATAACGAAGAGGCCTCAGTTCAAATTTAACCCACTTACTGACTAAAGGGCAAGTACTAGATGTGTCGGAACAACACGAACGGCGCCACTAGCAAAAAAAGCTTGAAACCATTTTTAGGAGTGGAAAAGCAGAACCAAACGTAAACTCAATCTGTAACTAATCAT